TTCAGATGTTAGCATATTAGCATGTAACCTGTGAAAGGATCGATGGAGGTGCCCAGTCTTTTGTCCACTCTGTCCTCGATGGGCTTCAGCAGGAAATCTACACAGGTGCATTTCATTTTTGGGCAGATGGACTTGTGCTCTTTGGCCGCCTTGTCATCTTTTTTCTCCTCCTTTTTTTCTTCTTTCTTTTCCTCAGGCTTGTCTGCTTTCTCTTTTTGCTTCTCCTCTTCTTCTTTCTTCTTCTTTTCCTCCTCCTCTTTCTTTTTTCTGTCCGCCTCTTCTTTCTTTTTCTCCTCCTCCACCAACTTCGAGTAGTCTTCTTTTCTGAGGACGGGTGCTGGAACAAACACAAAATACTTGTTAAGTCACCTCTTACTCGACTTGTCATGTTATGTGGTGACTACCTGTCATATTATTACATATTATTTCAGCTGTAATGGTCATTAATTGGATTGATTTGTGAGAGGATGCATAGGGGTCAATGACCTTTTCTTTAAACTGTTCAGTCCGTTGCCGGTACTGCTGAACAATCTCAATGAGGGGGTGCTGGAACAAACACAAAATACTTGTTAAGTCACCTCTTACTCGACTTGTCATGTTATGTGGTGACTACCTGTCATATTATTACATATTATTTCAGCTGTAATGGTCATTAATTGGATTGATTTGTACTCACTGACAGGAGGGCTGCACTCTGGAGAGGATGCATAGGGGTCAATGACCTTTTCTTTAAACTGTTCAGTCCGTTGCCGGTACTGCTGAACAATCTCAATGAAGAAAGTATCAAAATGCATGCTTATCACAATGGGCCGGGACTCAGGGGAAGGGGCCTCCTCACTATAATAATCAGATAGAGAATAGCACAAGGTGAAACAGTCGCCCCTCACTGCAGAACAAAGATCCAGGGGGCGGGGTTGGCTCCACTTCTAGGGGTGGAGATGGTAGGTTTAGGGGTGGAGATGGGTAAGTTTAGGGATCAGGGGGTGGAGACAGGTAGGTTTAAGTATATGTAAGGTGGGAGGAGTTGGATCTGGATCCAACCCCGCCCCTGGAACTTGTGTTCTGCAGTGAGGACCATCTCAGGTGAAATCAATATATTAAACATTTATAATAATATATCACACAATAAAATGACATTTGAAATCCTCAAGTTCCAGAAACTCTAATTTTAGTATCCTTGCGTGCAATGACACATGTTTAAATTTCATTTGACCACTTATAATGCTTGTCTAAATGCTTTTAAAGTAGGTATTTTTACGTTGCCACAGTTAGGCTATTCACTGGATCCGTGAAAACACAACTTTTGCTTGTTCATACAAAAAATGAGTTGAAATTACTTGTGATGATTGGCAGCATGACACAAATGCTGATAGAGTTTAACTTGTTTGACGTTGAGCTACTTTTACAAGAGCTGAAACTGTTGATCTGAATTCTCCTTATATATGCTGAACTCTGCTGGTCATGACAGCACATTACAAGTGTAAGTGAAGACCCAGTGCCTCTCATTATGAGTATCATATTATTAGTAGTACTAGGCCTTCGCAAAACTTTACATGACATATTATTGTAATGTCTTTCAAAGAAACAGAAAGTTTGTCTTATCAAAAAACCTAAATTAAATTCTGCTCCAGTGAATGTGAATATATTTTGAGGATCATATCCAACATAAAACCACTGAGGCATTCTTCCACTTTTGGTGTCAGCTTTATTTTTGTTTTCTAAACTTCAGCAGCTCTAGAGATCTTCTTATATCAAATGCACTGTAAATCTAGTAAGCTCCTCTCAGCTCCTGGTCTCATAATCTTCAGGTCTCTGTTGCACACTCTTGGATCTAATGTACAGTGTTCGCATCGATGACTGCCTCACATGCTGTTCTGTCACTTACTGTAAGTCCTTACCAAGACAATGAGAGTCTAGTTGATTAGCCTTGATTAATTAAAGCTTATCAATCACACTCAGGACATCAAGTCTTTCTCTTGGCACTTGCATAGAACAAACAATGATTTAAAGTCATCATGAAATTAAAATCAACCAGATTTATTCGTTTGCCGTTATATATATAAGTTCACACCAAACTGCAACATGATCTGTCAGATAAAGATGTTTCTGGTATTTAGTTTACCCTTCAACAGGTGGCTGGCCATTGGCTGGGTCTGCAGGTTTCTCCTCTGGTTTGGGGGCCGGTTCTGGTGCTGCAGTCGGGCCCGCTGGTTCTGGTTGTGTGGCCGGTGCTGCTGGTTCTGGAGCCGGTGCTGAAACCAGTGCTGAGGCTATGAAGAAAAAAGTTATTTTTTTCTTCATGACTCCCGACTGAAGGAAGATTCGGGGAACAGATGGAGGAGTGACCCCTGAAGCAGCTTACTGACCATCACACATGCTATTAAACCCATAACAAACACTACTGCAAGCAACCTGTGACAGACTGTAAGAATTATTTCAAATGCCTCTCATCTGGAAAATATCTTCTGCAGGTGCTCACGCAATGAATGATGAGATCATTTAGTGAATAATTACAATGATAACAGATGACTTACCATGGCCTTCATCATCTTTCTTGTCGTCATTTTCCTTGTCTGCAGGTTTGACTTCCTGCCGGGTGCAGAGCTGAATCATTATCCCAGAGCGCTTATGGAGTTAGAAAAACATTCTCATAAATGATGCATGATGGCTTCTATTATTGATAGATTGTTGAGCTAAATTGTCTATTTTAAATTACTCAAGCCTTTAGCTATAACTTTACATTTTTAATTGATGTTAGAACACTTTACACCCTGCACATCCTTCACATGGTGTTTGAGATAAAAAAAACAATACCAAAAATGTTTATAAAGTGAAGCAAAGTATATAAAAATTTCAATAATAATTACAAGAATTACTATATATACTAATATATATATATATATATATATATGATGTATAATATATAATATATAATATAATATAAAATAATATACATATATGATGTATAATATATATTGTTATATGTTATATTGTTATATGTATAATATATATATAGTTGTG